TAGTGGTTGGGCCTTTAGCCCATGCTCTTCCATCAGAATTAGAGTACTTATTCCTTCATTCAGTCCCTGAAAAGAAATAAGTTGAACCCTAAAAGAGCAGAAGACTTGGTTTATGTACATACTAATTTGCGACTCTTATCTAGGAAAAGTGAAGAATATATGCAAGGGAGTACTAGAATGTGGGACATTGGTGGAGATGCATGGGGTAGCTTTGATGGTGTTGAAAATCTTGAAGTGGCGTGATTATCTTTTGATGAACCAGAAATGGAAGCTGTCTTATTTATAAATGATGGTCAAGGAGGGGATGAAATTAATACTATTCCTATTTCTTGATAATAAAAAATGATTTATAATTTTTTATAGTAATATTTAAAATTTAAAAAGCAAGAAATGTATTCTTAATTTTAGTTTTTGAATGATAATTATTTGTAATTACTATTTTATATATATTAATTTTTTTGAATACATATCGTATCCTATATTTTCAAAATTTGACATATTGCCTTATCGGATACGTATCATATCCGATACGCGTATCGTATCCATGCATCATAGATTATACTTGTTCAAGCTGGAATCGGTTCTTCATCGGCTCTATTACCACTTCTTTCGGTGCACTAGGATTCATACATTCCCACATATGGCACCACTTGTTGAGGTGCACCAAGGGGATAGCCCATACACATGTCCACATTAATATGATATTTTCCACTTTGAGACTATGTCCTCATGGTTTTAATTTTGATTATCTCCTAAAAGGCTTCATACTAATGGAGCATGTATGTACTTTATAAAATCATGGTTCTCCTTCTTTTCACATAATGTAAGACTTTGATTACACTTTCAACACTCTCAAAAACTCTTTTTAAATTTGTATTCAAACACACTCAAAATTAGCTTTTGGAAAAGATAAATGAAAAATCTTTAATAAGCTAATTTTAATGGATAGGAGAAGCTTAATTCATTTTACCATCTAGGTGTTATCTTCTATAAGTTTTTATTGAGAAATTTATCCAAACATATCCTAAATTGATAAATCAATAAATCATATCATGCAATTACAAAACCACCAATACCTCAAAACAAGAGTTGTATTACCAACCTTTCCTGGTGTAATCAGGCCCTTATCCTCAACATCCTTGATCATACTTAATACTATCCTGCACCCCAAAGAAACAATTAGAATTTCCCTTTTAACATAAAGTCCCAATCCTCTGAAGCACGGATACGTGAAATCTGATCTCGTATCCCTATCGGATACGGATACATTTTGATACGTGAAAGATACGTATCTCATCCGTATCCACAGTGATTTTATTAAAAAAAGAAAAAATGAAAAAATATTTTCCAGATTTGTTCCAGTACGAAAATATTATTCGAAAATCAACCATAAAATAGCAAGAAAACACAAATTTGAGAGGGAGATACTTTGCATTCCAAAGCCAGATAGGATTTGTTGCTGCGTTTAGGCACCGGATCGGACTTAGAAGACAACCGCACACCAGTGACCCAAGTAAAGCATATAATCTCCTTTTCTCCGTTATTCTTCCGGTCATGCACAGTGAGATGGAAACCTAAAGAGGATGTGCAGTGAGTGCGGCTCTGGTCTCGACTTTTGAGGGGAAACCGGATTCTATTTTGGCTTTACGCTTTTCTCCTTTTCTATTTTTCAGTTTTCTCTTATTTTGACTCTATGCATTGCTTTCTGATGTTGCTTATATATTTCACTTTTGCGTATATATTCATTTTCTCCTGTGTTGTGCAGTTAGTGACATATGCTTTCTAATAAAATTATAATATTAAAATATAATATTAAAATAAGTTAAATATTTAAATACTAATTAAAAGGTACATATAATATTAAAAAAATTAAAATGTAAGCAAAATACTTTTGAGTCTATTGCCATTTCACTTTTTTTCTTTTTTATATTTTACTGTGCTGTTTGTACCTTTATTTAATTTTATAATTTATTTAAAAATATAAAAGGTGTTAGTATAAAATTATTAATTTTATGAATATTAAAAAA